AGAATAATGGATTTAAAAATATGGATAACGATATAGAATAATGGATTTAAAAATATGGATAACGATATAGAATAATGGATTTAAAAATATGGATAACGATAAAGAATAATGGATTTAAAAATATGGATAACGATAAAGAATAATTGATTTAAAAATATGGATAACGATAAAGAATAATGAATTTAAAAATATGGATATCGATATAGAATAATGGATTTAAAAATATGTATAACGATAAAGAATAATGGATTTGAAAATATGGATAACGATAAAGAATAATGTATTTAAAAATATGGATATCGAAATAGAATAATGGAATTAAAATATGTAAAATCTGATAAATTATAATTTAAACATTTACGTTTTTCTTGTTTTATATAAATGCTTTTATTTATGAATAAAGCGCTTTGCTTAATTGATCCACGCAAAATAAATTTAGAAAACAATCTTTTTTTTAAATTTTAGAGAGTAAAGGATTAAATCAAATTCTAGAGAGAGAGGGTCAAATCAAATTCTAGAGAGTAGAGGATCAAATCAAATTCTAAAGAATAGAGGGTGAAATAAAATTCTAGAGAATAGAGGGTTAAATCAAATTCTAGAGAGTAGAGGAATAAATCAAATTCTAGAGAAAAGAGGGTTAAATCAAATTCTAGAGAATAGAGGGTTAAATCAAATTCTAGAGAGTAGAGGATCAAATCAAATTCTAGAGAATAGAGGGTGAAAATAAAATTCTNACGATAACCTTTAAAATACGTTGTTTGATGTGTTCTTATGAAAAGTATTATTAAAAAATAGATATTAATATTTTACACAATCAAAAAATATGAAAAGTTTAAAATAAAATATCAACTAATGCTTGAAAACACAGAATTTTCTTTGAAAATAAAAAAAATTAATGTGAACATAGCAGCAAAGAAGTTTTTAGGATCTATATACTGGACTTTAGAATACGGAAACTAAAGAGATCTTATCTCATACTCTGTGAGATGTACACAATGAGGGAGGAGGTGCAGGGCCCCCATGAGCTCCCTGAAAATGGTCTTCAAGCCTCCGTATTCGCAGATGAGTATTTAAAATGACCTGGCACTCCCCCTTCAACGAGAATAGATAACATTTTTGAAGAAAATATTATCGAATATTATCGAAAAAACGTTGCATAACTTAAAACAAAAAAATTTCATAATTTTTTATACATTTCTTCCATACTATATATCTTAAAAACGGCTAACAGTAGAACGCTCAAACTTTTTCGGTTATTCAGCTTAATAGTTAATTGTTAACAAATTTTGCAAACAAATAAAAAAATGTATTAACATGCAGTCACATGTATATATTGTCCTGTGTATAATGAATAAATAAGACTGTTGCATGTATTTCTATAAACTGTAATTCATCTAGTTTCAAATATTTTATAATTTATTTAACTTTAGAGTTTGAGCATAATTCCCATAGATTAATTACAATTACACTAGATGTTGTCTTTTCAAGATTTAAGAGTTTTCGTTCACAATAACCCGGAGTAAAAGTAAATTCAATCTAAAGTCTGACCGCGTCAACCTTGTTGCACCGCATTGTCCCATTGAGTGTCGCTTTATTCACCCAATGTCTGGGTGATACATTACAAACTGGGACCGGAAAGGTTGACCCGGCTCGGCCTCAGAGCTATTGTGAACGAAAAACCAATAAATCTTGAAAAGACGACATCTAGTGTTCGAACTCTCATTCAATGTGTATTGCTAATCCATGATAAATCCATATACAATATACGTATAGAATGCATACTTATTACGTATTTGCTACTCACTAAATATACAATTTGCGTTGTTTTAATATTGAAAAACAATATTAACGAATATATTAACGAGAAGAACCAGGATAGTAGTACATCACAGCCTAAAAAGTCATAAAGTTTCTTATTTTTTTCTTTTTAAACTAAATATTTACAAATCTGTTTTTTAAATCTTGCGAGGGAGGGAGTGCAAAGCCGCCATGAACCCCGGGAAAGGAACTCCAAGCCTCATGGTTTGCAGAATGATCCTAAAAGCCATTTCCGAGTCACTGCAATTCTATCCCCACGCAATGATCTCCAATAAAAACTATTTTGCTTTTATGTCCACCAAAAACATTTTTCTGGAATAACCTAGACGTGCGATACAATAGTTTTTAATGAAACATAAATAATTTGTATCAAAATGTATCTTATTTGAGATAAGAGTTAAGACTGCTATTTATTTATTAAATGTCACATATTTCTAAACATGTAAAAAAAACCGTTCAATTTTCAAATAAATATAGACACATTTTATATTATTTTACATGTGTATCAAGTAGAAATTAAACTATACTAGCACCAATTCACAAAAAATAAAATTTACTAGCGTGGAATGTTAAATTTGGGCTCTAGTACACTTTCAACTAATAACATTTAGTCTAGTAACATTTGGTCTAAGTAACATTTGGTCTAAGTAACATTTGGTCAAGTAACGTTTGGAGTAGTGTAAGTGGTCTAAAACTACAGAATTTGTTTAAGTAACTTTAAGAAAGGAGTAAGTAACATTTTGTCCAAGTAACTTTTGGTATGAGTAATTTTTAGTAAGGAATTTGGTCTAAAACTAAACTGCCTAAATGAGATGGTTCCGTGAAGTAGTGCGTCTACAGAAAGATGTAACAATCTTCTGTAGAATGTGAACCTTGCCCCATAAAAATGGTTGTCAAAAGTACTTCATCACTCCCATATTCATTCATACGCTACTATTGGTCTATGGTAAACAACAACAACAACAAAGAATCATGTAAATTTTCTTATTAACTACCTACATGTAAATCTAAAAAAACATTTTATTCATTTATTTTGTTCATAGACCGAAAGTTACTTAGACCAAATGTTACTTAGACGAAATGTTACTTAGACCAAATGTTACTTAGACCAAATGTTACTTAGACCAAATGTTACTTAGACCAAAGGTTACTAGACAAAAAAGAACTAGACGGAAATGAACTAGACAAAAGTAAACTTAGACGAAAGTGTACTAGACGAAATGTTACTGAGCCAATTAATATTTTGTTGCTGTTGTTGGATCAGCCATAAAAGCAAAACAAAAAATAAAAACAGCAAGTGGAGATCAGAATATGCGGAGCAGAGATTGAATCACAGAGGCTCGGAGATGTTTCGCTGAGCTTAGATACTTTTCGCGGGTTTTAAAGGGCTAAGAGATCATTCTGAAAATTACAAGGTTTGGAGGTAATTTCGCGTGGATCATGGTGGCTCTTCTACCCATCCCTCGTTGCACTGATATAATATAATATCACCTGGGCGGGCAGATTCCATTGGGCAGCTCGAAGCTCTATCAACTGTAGTAGTGTTTTCCCAATCTTAAATATAAATAAGTCTTTATTTTTGAGGGATAGAAAGGAAGACCTCTATAAGACATGTATCTAAAAATACCTGTGGATGGAGAGGGGTAGAAAGGAACACCTCTCTAAGACATGTATATAAAAGTACCTGTGGATGGAGAGGTGTAGAAAGGAACACCTCTCTTAGACATGTATATAAAAGTACCTGTGGATGGAGAGGTGTAGAAAGGAACAACTCTCTAAGACATGAATCTAAAAGCACCTGTGGATGGAGAGGTGCAGAAAGGAACACCTCTCTAAAACATGTATCTAAAAGTACCTGTGGATGGAGAGGTGTAGAAAGGAACACCTCTCTAAAACATGTATCTAAAAGTACCTGTGGATGGAGAGGGGTAGAAAGTAACGCCTCTCTAAGACATGTATCTAAAAGACTCATCCTGCCAGGGGTTTCAGTCTCCAAATCTTTTCCAATATGTGTTAACACAACGAATAAAATCTCAACCTAGAACATACAAAGATAGATAGTTTAATGAATATACAATGAACTATAAATACAATGTTGACGAGTAGATTGTTGATATAAACATGAATTTATATTTACGTCTTTAATAAGTATACATGTAGTTATAAATCTGATCGATCCAAATCGTTCATTTTTTATCTGATGACAACACCATTCACAAAATAATTTCGTTCATACTTAAAAATTTCGTTTGTTCCCAAAAACGATGCTCATCTTATCTTTATGGCTTATAGCTTTATCACGCAAAAATGCTAGGCATATTTTCGCTTTAACATTAGATTCGACGTAAATAAATGTCTACAGTTTGTATACAGTATACTGTATACTGTATACTGTACCTCTGCCAGGGACTGGATTTGGGAAGTGAGGGTAGCTGTACAACATTCAGCTAGAAGAGAGAGCAGAACCAGTTTAGGAGGAACACCTTCGTACTTAGTCAAGAAGTGCAACTGTTTACGTTTCAACTAAACAAAATCATTTATAAACATACTCTCCTTCCTTCAGGTGTATAGGGATATTATACAGGATGGTAAAGCCTCAGAAAGGATCGTAAATATCCATTATGATCTTAGGGAATTAAAACAAAGTTAAATGGAGTGACCGGCAATGTATGGTGGTTGAACTGAATATGCAGTAATACATATTCATTTCAACCACCATACATTGCCGGTCACTCCATTTAACTTTGTTTTTAATCCCTAAGATCATAATGGATATTTACGATCCACCAAAAACACAGACATTCTTCACTGTATAAATGGAGCTTATAATAGTTTATTTTGGAGATTTAATCATTTTAATTCATTAAATATTTCTGTTCTAAAAATTTGATGCAAAAGGATTTAGAGGATTTTGGCAAGTATGTAGATAATCCAGTAGGACATAGAACGCTCTGTAAGTAATTTCTCAAATTGCCTAGATTTGAGAAAAATAACGAGATTTCAAGGAATTGACTTACAACTTTTAAACCTTAATAAAACATTCAATAGATTTTTTTTTCGTTTCTTACAAATAACATTCTCAATTCTTACTTTTCATGAAAACGTTCATTCACAAAAAAGTAATTTAACTTGGCTTTTTCAGCTGACAAATATAAGGATAAGATATATTTCATATTTCTGCAGATATAAAATAAGATAAAAATCTATTTCATATTTCTGCAGATATATAATAAGATAAAGATCTATTTCATATTTCTGCAAATATAGAAAAAGATAAAGATCTATTCCATATTTCTGCAAATATAAAACGTTCTTTTTGTTTACATTTTAAAACAAAGAAAAACGTGTTGCGGATTTTAAAAAAATCGCGTATTTTCAAGAGTTTAAATTTATTACAAAATTAAAAACCTTTAAAACACATTTAAAAAAAAATTTTATCACTCATAAACCTTCAATGTGGTCACGTGATGTCCCACACAAAATTTGGGCCCGATCGGTTTAGCCGTTTTGACGTTTATTGGATACAAACAAACAGACAGACAAACAGAAGACAAGCCAAATTTATATATAGAAGATAAAGATCTATTTCATATTTCTGCAAATATAGAATAAGATAAAGATCTATTTCTATTTCTGAAGTTATAGAATAAGATAAAGATATATTTCATATTTCTGCTAGTATAGAATAAGATAAAGATATATTTCATATAGCTTCTAAACAGCAGATTCTGAATAATTATATTAAAATATTTTAACTAATTATTTTTTCACTTCTAGTTAATCAAAATTAATGATTTTTATCAAAAGAATATTTTACGAAGCTTAAGCTCATTGTCTAGGTTTGACTGAGCAGCCCTACACACTCTATCTTTTAGAATTTTAGCGGTCCTCGACTTTTTAAGCGTTCAGCCATAAGTGACCTTCCAGTGGGAAAGGATTCAAAAATATCAATACTAAATAAAATGCCCGGCGTTGCCTGTGGAATTTTAAAAAGACTTGAAAAAATTCTAATTTTGAAAAAAAAATTGAATTTTGAGAAGAAAAGAATTTGAATTTTAATAAAAATTCTGAATTGTGCGCAATTTGCTTCATTAGCTACGACCATTTTTCTTCGTTCATAATTAGGCATTTTCAAACAAATGTAAAAATTAAAATTTGCCTCGACCCCCCCTTCTACGAACAATATCTTATAATTATACGATACATGCAGTATTCTCTTACATTAATCATATAAGAGCCAAGATAATTCATTTACATTGGAATACTAGTCAAGTATTATAGGAATACAGGGAGTGTATAGGAATACAGGGAGTTTATAGGAATACAGGGAGTTTATAGGAATACAGGGAGTGTATAGGAATACAGGGAGTTTATAGGAATACAGAGAGTTTATAGGAAAACAGGTAGGGATTCCAGCGAACGAAAACGTTGGCGAATAAAGGCGAAAATTTTCGTTCGTATTTCACAAAGGAACGAATTTCGCATAACAGGAATGCAGGGAGTATATAGGAATACGGGGAGTACATAGGAATACAGGGATAATAGAGGAATACAGGGAGTATATAGGAATACGATGAGTAAGTGAGAATACAGGGAGTACATGGGAATATAGGGAGTATGTAGGAATACAGGGAGTCCATGGGAATATAGGGAGAATAGAAGAATACAGCTGGAGTATATAGGAATACGGGGAGAATATAGGAATACAATGTTTATATAAATACAGGGAGTGTATAGGAGTACAGGGAATTTATAGGAATAAAGGAAGTATAAAGGTATACAGGAAGTATATAGAATGCAGGGAGTATATTGGAATACAGGGAGTATATAGGAACACAGGGTGTATATAGAATACAGGCGTATATAAGAATACAGGAAGTATACAGAATACAGGGAGTATATAGGAATACAGGGAGTATTTAGGAATACAGGGAGTATATGGAATACAGGGAGTATATGTAATACAGAGAGTACATTGAATACAGAGAGTATATGGAATACAGGGATTATATGGAATACAGAGAGTACATGGAATACATAGAGTACATGGAATACAGAGAGTATATGGAATACAGGAAGTATACAGTAATACAGGGAGTACAAAAAAGGAGAAATGGAATTTACATTTAATTCTCATAAATGGTAAAATTCAAAGGGATTTAATTTAGTTTAACTTACCAATCCATACATTTCGTTGAGAAAGGAAATAAAACTGTTCCATCGGAGTGTATCTGGTCTTAGCAATTTGGACCTAAGTATTATTGCGAATATTGTAAACGTAAACCTTATCCTTTGTCATATTGTACAAGATTGAAGTTGGTGTCAATGAAAGAAAAGAAAAGATACAAGATTAGTGAGCCTCCAAACCATTAGACTTAAGTACATCAGACTTAAGTACTATATAATAGACAATATAAAAAAATTGTTTTATTTTTTTTTCTTCACATTTTATGCACATTCAACATATTTTTTCATTTCATTTTCAATATCCGGAATCTTGCAGGGATATACAAAATAGAGAAAAAAGAGAGGATTAAGCAGGAAATTAAAAGTTTCCAAATTGGTTATTCAGATTAGTCGATAGGGATTAAGTGTATCCAATTCTAAAGTTCCCAGCTCAGTTCTCCTTTGGTCGAAACTGTATATAGGGTATAATTCTTAAAAAAAGGGATTATCTGTTGTTGTTTATTTAATGTTAATCTATCTTTTTTAAATAAAAAAAGTTTAAATACCTATTATTCAGGTAACTTACTTTGTTTGTTTTTAGAATGCACTGAAGATGGTTTAATCAAAGAGAATAGAATATATATTAGAGTGGAATTTACTAGAAAAAAGTGTAAAACGGCCATTTTGTTGTATTGTTTCCATACTGTAGGTGTACTTCACATATTTGCGTTATATAACCTTTTGGGCCCCGGACCATCATTGACCAATGATCATTTCACATAGACTCTATGCCTTTCACTTTACAAACGATGATTTTCCGTTATAACTATAAATCAAATGATGTTTTTATTCACCTAATTCATTTTATAAAGTTTATTTAACAGCTATAAAAAATTCGAAATTGAAATGGATAGTCAAGGGAATATACTGTATTAATGTACTCTACTGCATATAATTTGTGAACATTTGTACACTTTTAACTCCCTTTCAGGCTGAAAGGGACTGAACAAATGCATACCGAAGGATTGTCTTAATTCCACTCTAACATATATTCTATTCTCTATGAAATAGATAGATTGATAGATAGATAAATAGATAGATAGATTAATTGTAAAGATAAATTGGTGTAATTTTGTTCACTCTTCTTTTGAAACCCCCAATAATGTTGGATACTTAGAAACATCAATCCTGGGATAACAATTTGTAGACAAATCTTTAGAATCATTTTGCATTTACATTTACCTAAACAAACCTAAACCTGCCTAAACCCTGCCCAAACCCTTACTGTACCAGCCTAAACCATCTAGCTAAACCTAGCTAAACCTTGCTATACCTTCCTAAACCCTGTCTAAAACCAAATCTTCCTGTACCAGCCTAAACATGCCTAAACCTACATAAGCCAACCTAAACCTACCTGAACATACAGCTAAACCTACCTAAACCTGCCTAAGCCTACCTAAACTTACCTAAACCTGCCAAAACCTACCTAAACATACCTAAACCTTCCTAAGCCTACCTAATCCCTACCTAAACCTACCTAAACCTACCTAAACCTGCTTAAGCCTACCTAAACCCTACCTAAATCTACCTAATCCTACCTAAACCTACCTAAGCCTACCTAAGTCCTGTCTGAACTTATCTAAACCTGCCTTAACCTACCTAAAGTCCTACCTAAACATACCTAACCCTACCTAAGCCTGCCTAAACCTACATAGGCCTACCTAAATCTACCTTAACCTTCCTGAACCTACCTAATCCTACCTAAGGATACATAAGCCTGCCTAAACCTACCTAAACTCTACCTAAACCTACCTAACCCTACCTAAACCTTCCTTAATATACCTAAGCCTACCTAAACCTGCCTAAGCCTGCTAAAACCTACCAAAACCTGCATTAACCTTCCTGAACCTATCTAAACCTGCCTAAACCCTGCCTTAACCCTGCCTAAACAAGCCGAACCTATCAAAACCTTCCTGAACCTACCTAAACCTGCCTAAACCCTGCATTAACCATGCCAAAACAAGCCTAAACCTGCCTAAACCATGCCAATACCTCCTATACCTACCCATACTATCTAAACCTACCAATTTCACTAACCTTAGCCTGCCTAAACCTGCCTAAATTTACCTAATACTATTACTACCAAAACTTACAAAAACCCTGCCAAAACCTACATTAACCCTGCCCTAACCCTGCCTACACAAGCTAAACCTGCCTTAACCAGCCTAATCCTACCTAAGCCTGTCTAAACCCTGCCAATACCAGCCATAAACTTAATCATACTATCTAAACCTTACTTTAACCTACCTGAACCTGCCTAAACCTGCCTAAATTTACCTAAAGCTGCCTAAGCCTACATAAACCCTGCCAAAATCTCCCTAAACCTGCCTAAACCTGCCTGTGCCTACCAAAACATGCTTAAACCTATCCAAACCCGACTATATCCTACCAAAACCAGCCTAAAGCTTCCTAAACCTACCTAAACCAGCCTAAACCTTCTTAAGCCTACCAAAACTTGCCTAAACCCTGACTACACAAGCCAAAACCTACCTAAACCTGTCTAAAACCAGCCATAAAATCTGCTTATAACCTGCCTAATCTACATAGAAGAATTCAACTAATAGTTCTTTAAAATTACCTGTCATGGTAAAGTTCTTGGCAAGTGTTGATAAGGGATTCCATGAATGTTTCCTTTTCCTCCCGTTCTATTATTCCAATACACAATTTAGCAGCCTAGAAGATAATTAAATATAACAAAACATGGTAATAATGATAACTGATAAATGAAATTTCACTTCGGAAAAAAAATTATGATATCTCTTCACAAGTTAAGTTAACATTTATCTACTGTAAAGTACATAAACAAACGAAAAACCAAAACCAAAACCAAAACCAAAGAATTTCTCGCTATAGATCTTTTTTATACCTGATTTAGTTTATTACCTGGTAAGGGAGCCGGAGCCCTAGAGACGGTATTCTCCCCCTGTTTAGTTTATCACCTGGTGGGGAACCCTAGAGATGGTATTCTCCCTCTGTTTAGTTTATCACCTGGTGGGGGAACCCTAGAGATGGTATTAGAAAAAATTATTTCTGAATAAACGGCTTTTTTGAAATAACTTTTTAAGAGACGATGGGATTTTTATTGAATAAACTATTTTACTAAAAGATGAAAGAACGAAATACGCCCATCTCTAGCAGTGAGATTTAAAAAACTATTGAATAGGAAGACAACATTTAAGTAGGTTAACACGGAGTCTTCTTCCTATTCTGCAGTTTTATAGGTCCCACTGGCAAGACAAGTGTAAAGCAATTTCCTGAAGGAGTAAAAACAAACTTAGAGCTGTTAGATGTTAATATTTGTTTATAATCCTCCCAGATATTGCAGTACACTTTATATGTAAACAGATATATGGGGATTTCTGTTGAATCTTCCTTAGAGCAAAACCCACCCGTGTTTTTTATATAATCATACAAAATTGGAAGCTTAAAAAAGGTTTAAAAATTTATTAAGTTTTAATATTTTTAAAATAATAATTAAGTTTTACTGTTTTGCAAATTATTTTTATGAACAATATTTGGATGCCACCTTTTGCAGGCTTCAAAAAGGAAATTGAAAGGTGAAAACAACAGAAGAGTGGCACAGTTTACAAGAACAACATCAAGAAAGAATGTTATTAACTGCAACTGCAGGGTTGAATTTTGATCAAATCAAAAATAACCAAACGTATATAATCACCCTGTAGTCTGTATTTATTGAACTTAAAGAACGTATTAAAAAACCTGTTTGGGTCATCTAGGGCTTTTTTTAAAGTGCTGAGTACTTCTGGTGGGAAATGGAAGAGCTCCAGGTCAATCAGCTGACTTGAAAGATCTATCAGCTGATTCGGTCGCTCACTCAGCTGATCATCATAATGTCTATCAACACTGTTAAAAATCAGATTTTCATATTGTATAAATAAAGTCTTACTTTTCAATTTTCAATAGGTAAATTTACATTTCCTACTAGAGTAAATTTTTCCTCATAATTATATTCTAATAAAGACAACATTTAATGTTTCTTTAATCTTTAGAAATTGGTAAATATCCTCCATTTCTGCCATCTTGTTTTATTTCGCAAAACTATGTGTTTTACATAGCATTGCTGGAAAAGTGGGCTGAAAATGTCTGGTATTTCATTACATTGCAATAAAGGCATTACATTGTAAAGGGGGAAAATTGTGGGAGAAACATTTTCAAGTTAGAATTAATTTAATTAATTTTCCCAGCAACCTATTCTCGGTAATACAGATATCATCAGTTTTATATGCTTAATTAGAGCTATGAAAACATAATTAAATACACAAATGAAAAACTACATTCATTCAATCTAGAAGAGATATGTTATTTTAACTCTAAAAAAGATTAAAACGTTTTGTTTTAATAAAAATGCTGTTTTTTCCTGAGCTGTGATTTCACAGATCGGAACTTTGTACTGTATGAACTGTTTGAATTGTTATGTTTTCCATGAACTGTTATTGTCAATCCAGTTCTGTTAAGAATGATATTATCTTGAGGCCCCTAACATGAGAACAGCAATGAGTTACAAAAAAGAACTAATTCTCACTCCGCAAAATTTCATTATTTCTTCAGTCAGTATAAAGCAAAATCTTTTCTTAATTATTAAAAAAGTCTATAATGGTTTCCAATCAAAATCAAACACACTTTTTTTTAAAGAGAATAGAATATATATTAGAGGGGAATTTAGAGGATCTCTCGGTATGATTTTTTTCAGTCCCTTTCAGCCTGAAAGTGTACAAATCATGTAAATGTTCACAAATTATATGCAGTAGAGTACATTAATACAGTATGTTCCCTAGACTTTCCATTTCAATTTTGAATATTTTAAAGCTTTTAGATAAACTTTATAATGAATTATGTGAAAAAAACATCATTTGATTTATAGTTATAACGGAAAATCATCGTTTGTAAAGTGAAAGGCATAGAGTCTATGTGAAATGATCATTAGTTAATTATGAAACCAGCCTATTTCATAATTTGGTTTTCTTTTAATATTAATTTTAGATTTTCTATAAAATGATATTTCAGGGCCCAAAAGGTTATATAGCGCAAATATGTGAAGTACACCTGCAGTATGGAAACAGTACAACAGTACAGTAAATTCCACAGTAATATGTATTCTATTCTCTTTGCTTTTTTACACATTTTTCTCTTGATGATTCAAATGGAGTTTATTGGATCAAAATTCATAAATGTAGTTTTAGAGTTTACTCAGAATGTGTTCCCTATGAGAATTTAAGTTTGGACTTCTGAAAAGCCTTAGACATTTTATTTAAAACTGAAATTAACCCCAAAAAAATCACATTTAAGGAATAGGAAAATTTGAAAACTTTTAGTTGAATTGATGTGTTAAGTTTACGCTGTTAAATGCCAGAAGCCATGTGCAAAAAAATTGAAGTGTCGTTTCAATATTTCTTAAGAAGTGTTTTAAAATGTGATTTTTATGCTACACAGCTGTTAAATTAGAAAGTAATTTTTAGTTTTTTTTAGTTTGTGGATTTCTTGTAGGAAATAAATTAGTTATTGCTAAATTCCTGTAAAGATGTCACTGCCGTCGCTGTAGGAAGAACTGTTTGCTGTTCACCATCATTCTAATAGTTACACATTTTGTATTTTTATTTCAAATAAAGAAACTTCAAAGTAGCCCCAAATTTAATATTTCTAATCTGGATATCTTTGAAACCTAAAGATGCAAACATTTATTTCAATTTATTTTATTATATCAAAGGTTTACGCCATCATGCTGCAAAGATCAAAATTTGGTTGTGTGGGGAAGCTGGCAAGTAATCTGTTCCTCATGCAGTATAAATGCAATAATTGTTTCTATATTTGAAATAAATGTTTAATATTGATTAAGAATTAAGAATTAAGATTAAAAATGGGCATATATCTATCACAAATTAGTATGAACATGTCTGAAATATCATTCTTCAATTAAGTGAACTAACCCTTGATGAAATATCAAAAGATCTTGAGAGTCTGAGGGGCGCAAACTCTTTAGCTGCTGGATTAAGGTTTGGCGGAGAAGAAGTAAGTACAGGAGGACGGTACAGCTCACGGCTTGGCTTGGGCTTCACACTAAAGCCGGTTTGAACAGCTGACGACCTGCTCCCGCCATCAGAGGAGAATTCATCACTTCTTCTTCTGCTTGAGTCACGTGTCTTAAAGGAAAGATAAATGTTAATATTTGCACTAACTATACTAATTTTAACAGATTTTAACTAATTAAGCTTTGAGCATATAGAACCATATAGAAACTTTCGGAGACCCTCACTTGCCAACTCAATGATTTTAAAAGAAGTTATAAGAAATGAAAGCACAAACATTCTAAGAAAATTGATATGTTTTGATATTTCTATGCTAAAAGATAAATTCTATTTTTCAAATTCATATCTGCAATTTCCAGCTTGTTATTCAAGTTTGATTTTTAATTGACCCTATACAATGGTTTATAAATTATTAATTCATCTGATTCTGAACCTAAAAACTTATGTTTACTCACCTTTAATGAAAACAAAAACAAAAAAAATAACTCTTTATTAAAAAATTCAAAATATAAGTGTTTTTTTTTATCAGGCTGATGAGCTCAGATTACATTTGTTTGCAAACTTGAAAAGAAGAATTTACTGTAATTGTGATGTATGAAAAATTTTCATCAAAAAATATGCATTTTGAAAATATTCATACTTTCTTGTGTTTGGCTTTTTTATTTATCTTTTGCAAAAAAACATTTTTCAAATTGATCATTAACAAACGATTAATTTTGCTCCGAGAAAATTACAGTATAAAAGTCGTCTTTTGATTCTCAAGTTCAACCCTGTAGTTTCATATACCTATCCTCTCTACCTTTATATCTATGTAGAGATTAAAGAATTTATCTTGCTGACTTGAAGATATCAACTGCAGTAAGTAAATACTAAATGTACAGAGCGTCCCATATCATATTAGATTATCTCCAATCTTTAACACCAATATAAACCCTTAATACTCGAAAAACTTATCATTTTCCACAAGAAAATTCTTATATAAGCCTTATATTATTTTTCAAAATGATTCATTCTAATTAAATTTTCTAATTAGTCCCGAAAATCGTAATTTAGACCCATTCTCGGTCTAATATAATGTGGGACACCCTGTATATCCACCCACTTGAATACTTCATCGATTACTTATCAACTAATCTATAACGACCCCTCCAATTCTCCCCCCCCCCCATACTCCCATCCCATTTATCTAGGAGAAAACATTAAAACAGATTCATGAATATTAAAAGATTGTGTGGGATAATTTCACTTCTCCTTTTCTTTCGTCCAAAAGAACTAACTTTTTGCCATACGCTCTGATTTTTCTTTATGCCCAGATCTTTGCAAATCGTAGTCCTTCGATAATTGAAACTTTGAATTCTGTGAGAATACATAATCTATAATTGAAATATCAAAGGTTTACACAATAATGTTACAAAGATGTAGAGATAAGAAAATTTGAATTTGAAGTTTAAGAACTTGTACCCAGCCAAAATTTTATATAATCTGACTCTAATTAGTCTCTATAATAAGGAGTTTTACTTGTTTTTTTCTATATTGTGTCTTATACTGAAGAAAAATAAAATAATCTAAGAAGAGTAGAGTACATGAAGAAACCTTGTTATAAGATAAGAACAAAGGGTAATTTATCGAGAAATTGGAAACGCATTCTCAACCTTTTCTGAAAATAAAGAATTCTTTCGTTTAGATATTTAAAAAATGCAGGAACTTTTCTATTCAGAGGGTTTAAAATTTTTTTTTCATTTTTTATCAATGAAAATTTCATTGTTTTTTTTTATTATTTTTGAGTTAGGTTTCTTTTTAATTAACGGCGGTTTTAGTTTGGTTTAAATCGATAAAAAAAACTTTAAACTATTTCATTATGTTTATTTCTCTTGGAAGTTAATTAAATCATATTTTTTCAGGGGGGGGAGAGGCGCACACCTGACCCACTCCC